GGCCATCTATCTCTGTTTGGCTGATGCCTGTCCTCAATTCACTTTGACAAATGTACAAGAACAGGACACTCAGCTTTGGCTGAGAAGGTCAGGATTTCAAACAGAGCTGATTACAACGATACTCATCCCAAACTTTTGCACAGCAGGGTATTATATATATTTAATATAATAAAAATAATAAATTTTGTGTGTGTTTATATAAAACTAACACCTTTCTTTTTTTTTTACTGGAAAACAAGACAAATATATTGATTAATATTTGTTTTGCAGTGACCATAAGTGTGTGCTCATCGACTTTGTCATTGGGGAAACTGTCAAATATACACGCTTCAAGCATATAATGAGAGACAAGTGTGTTAAAATTTGCCTATATCACATTTAAAAAAAACAAAGGAATCCAACTGACCATTTATAGCACTGTAACTGTTTAAATGTAACATTAACAAGAGCTCAAAGCATAAATATAAGTATTACTATATCTTATAAGACATCTTCTGGCATTTATCCATTACAGATTCTTAACATTCTTTTACGAGAGGCAAATAAAAGTGTAATTCTGAGTGCAAGTGGATGACTTTTGGCCATCCTCACAGCCAAGTGTCAGCTGCATTGTATATCACAGAGACAGCAAAACATGACGGATTCATCCTGCAGCCGGTGACTGCCTCTCTGCGGCCGCCTGATTGTGCATTGATCGTGTAATGTGGGAGTGTCTCGCTTCTCTCGGGCTCTGAGAGCGCCAGACACACTGAACTCCGGTGTGTGGTGTCGGGTGGCCGCCCCTCTGTCGCCATCCTGCCTGTCACTGGGTTTTCGCTGGGGCTGCACTTTCTCAACAAATCCCTGATCTGATGTGCATATCTCTTCTCTCTCTTTTTTCCTTTTGCTCTTTCTGTGTGTGTTTGCATGATGGATGTAGACAGATAAAGCGAGAAAGAGTGTGTGGAATCAAGGAGGACAGAAAGCGAGAGGGACGGAGGATGGGTGTGTGAGACTGAGCCCTGCCACTGTTGTCTTCATGTCTGGGGCGGCAGACGCCCTTATGATAGAGGTAAGATGAATGCCCCCATGATGCACTGAGAGAGAGGAAGCCTGAGTCATATCTGCTTCCAGCCATTTCTTTATCACCCTCTGCTCTGAATGCAACCACTGGTATAAACTCTGCTTGATTTGAAATATTAGAGATATCACAAAAAACTGACAAATACTTTTGCTATCAAACAACAAGCCACATGAGTGTTATTAACAGCATATTGCCACTATCACAGCTGTTCACTGCAAAAATACATTTATTAATCAGTATTTTTGTCTTGTTTTCAAGTATAAAATTCCAAACATCCTTAAAGCAATTTTAATTACTGGGAGTAAGAAGTAAAAGTAAAAAAATTGAAAAAAGTAAAATAAATAAAGTAAATAAGTTTGAAATGTTACTGTTAACTGAAACTATTAATAATTTTTTGCTAACTGAAATAAAATAAAATCTACATATTAAATGAAAACCTCAAAATTAAAAAAAAAGAGAGAAATTTTGTCTTGGTGACTATCTGGAAAAAAACAAAGGCTATTGAATCTTTCAATAGTCTACATGAGCTATGTGCAATTAAGCTTCCTTGAAATTCTACCCCAGACTCCCATGAGAGAGGCGAAAACCAGCGGTATACTCGCATCACCCGGCTACCACCCCCCTCTTCCTTGTACACCAAATATCTCTCCAAAAACTACTCATAAAAGAGCAATTTCCCTTTTTTAGTGCAATCATATCAAATATTTATATATGTGCATGAATAATGTATTCAAAGATAAAACAGCCACCTCCACTGATGCAGAATAGTGTTAAGACTGTGTGGATATTTGCAGGGCACGACTGATGAGCTTTCCCTAGAGATCTGTGTGATTGGTGCACAGACATCTGTGTTTGTTCTCTGAATACCCTGATCCGCAGAGACCACAGCCCGCACTTGGCCCCTTGAACTCGCAACTCCAGCTTCTTTCAAAGCATCTTGTGGTCTTTCACTGAACAATTCAAAAGCGTGCAAATAAAACCCTAAAGCCACATGTAAGACAGAGAGGGTAGGTGACACTATTACCACACAGAATACATAACTGTGGCTTTACCTGTGGAATCTCTTAAAGGGACTGATCACCCAAAAATGTCATTTACTCAACCTCATATTGTTCCAAACCTGCATGACTGACTTCTATCAGAACACAAAAAGAGAAGTTAGCTAGAATGTCCAGGCTGCTCTATTCCATACACGGAAAGTCAATGGTGACCAAGTTGCTATCAAACGTCAAAAATGACAAACCACCACCAAAAAGTGCCATAACAGTAATCCAGTCAAATAATGCAATAAAATGGTGTCAGAAACACAGCAAAACTTAAATTATTATTCAGTCCCTCTCTGAGATGCCCTATATGAATTATGGCCAAAAAAAAGTAAAAAAGAATTCCATTAAATATTCCATTAAAATTATACACCAGGGCGGAACACTTAAATTATTTAGACCACAGGCTGACAATGACAAAAAAAAAAGTGTTTACAGTGTTTAAGGTACTTATTTTTCATTTTAAAGTTATGGGTTTGAATTGCTCTGAATAACATTCAATTTGAAAGAATTCATTTGGCCTCCCCCTTTCACTCTCTATTATTCTATCCATCAAAAAAAGACACAACCAATATAAAACGAGAGGCATTCGACCTTTTGCAATATCTGCCGTAAAATCTGAATGAGGCTGCACATGATCTTTAATGACTCATGTATCACACTGCTGCAGCTGTGTGCTGCATTTATCCGCTTACTAACCTTCTCAATTCTTAACACTCAGCGCAATTTGTGTTCCACATGGGGTGCAAACATGACTCTTCTTAATCATAAATTGTCATACATCTGCTACCAAGGTGGTGCAACAAAAAAGACAAATCAAACCTGCGCTGACAGATTTCTATTCACAATTTAATGGTCAAATAACAGCTTAACAGGATTCTAGAATGGCATCTACGAAACTGAAAATCTAGCTCAGTTTTTGTCCTCCAGTTTTTTGAAGATTTTTGGACATGCAGTGCCGCTGTGCTCTTGCCAAACTTTAATTTCTCTACTGCAGCTGCACTTGCCAAACTGATTATTCCAGACCAGTAATGTACATTCATTCATTAAAAATTGAAAAAGAAAAAAAAGCTATAAAGGGATCCAATCAATAACTTAATGGAAGTTTAAGTATTGGTTTTAAAGGGTTAAGGTCAGTATTTAAAGAATAATTACATTATTGTTGGCAAAAAGTTGTCATTTAGTTCCAAAGACTCGAACCATTAGCTCAAGATTAATTTAGAGTTATGTCCCAAATGAGGCCCTATACACTATACACTCTACCGTCATCCAACATTGAAATATAGCCGTACGTAAGGAAAGCTGCAACAGTTAAGTGCATGAAGAGTCCAACATTCCACACACACATTTTTTATTTATTTTTTGGTTAAGTAAGTGCATCATCCGGGGTTTTAAAGTGCCCCTATAATGCCCTTTCCAATACTGCCTTTCATGCAGTGTGTAATGTAGCTGTATGTGAATGCAAACGATCTGTAAAGCTGAAAGTGCACGATAAATAAAGTTATTGTCTCCCAAAATAAAGAATCGACTCTGAACATCTGAAACGAGTCGTTAATAATTCGAATCCCACTTCCGTGACAGCTGCACCTCACAGAGTAATACATTTGCATAATGCGCGCTTATGTTCTACGTTGGCCGGCCGCGAATAACTTGACCCCGCCCACAAACGCATCATTCTACTGGTTCTCTAATCTCCGGGAGTTCAACGTGGGATTCACAAAACGCTTGCTGTTGAAAGATGGATCAGTATCCTGTTTATTTGGACCAGCTGGCTCCACTGAATCACAACATAAGTATGATAAATAATAGATGTTCGAAACGCGCTGTACACCGTAGACCAATCAAAACAGACTAGGCCATCTGACCAATCAGAGCAGAGCAGACTCATGGAAAGGAGGGGTTTAGAGAGACTGAATCTTTGAACTGCTTCGAACGAAT